AGAAAGCACTGAACATTCACACCATGTTTTCCTCTATAATTTATAAATGATATGGTTTGTGATCAATTTACATTCATACACATATATCAAATTTTATCATTTGTAAGTCTGATGTGTTATATACAAGACTATGGTAAAGGAAGTAAAACATACAAGCCATATTCCTGTAAGAATTTACATATATATCTACTTCAGGAACTCCAAATAACTCTGATAATTTGCTTCTCAGCATTGATAAACAGAAGCAGTAGCATCCTACCTATAGTATTTCTTTTGTTTTTTTGCTTAAAAGATTTTTGCTTTTAAAGATTAGATAGCAAACCAGGAAGATTCAGAAGCATATTTCAATCCTAACAGAAAGAATTACATAGTCATATTTTATTTGGAAAAACAATAAATTTTCAGACTTGCAAAGTTGAAACACATGACATAGCTACAGTGCCTTTATTTTCTAATCTGCTAACTTATTTTTAAATGCAAGGGTGCCATCTACCTTGGAAAGACACAGTAGGTCTAGATTATCATCCAACAAACACTCAGAATGAGTGTATGTGTATGAACTTTTGTGTATAAATAGATTCAAGCTACTGTCCTTATTTAAATCTCAGTAGTTATTTTCAATAAAATGATTATCTTCACATATATCTCATCGAATTAAAAATTGTATATGTAAAAGTTTAATTCTTAACAACAACAGTGAAATGCAATACAAATGTCTTTCTGGGGAAACCAATATTGATAATACTTAAAAGCAAGGGATTGCTATGTCTAAACATTAAGCATCAGAAACTTTTCCTTTATAGCTCGTGGGAGTGAAGCTTCAACTCTGAGAAAGTGAACGGTGCATAGTGCACCGCTCATTAGTGACTCTGCTAGTTAGAGCAGCAATTTACTTTGCTAAATAGCGTTTGGAATGGCATGGTTCCATATTCTATTTCCTGTTCCTGCGGGTTCCCAAGGGCCCTATTACATTTAACATACTATAAATGCTATTTGTGAAAAAGCTTTTTAAAAGGGCAGATTTCATTTACAAATGTTAATAGGCTTTTCCCTAGACTCACTATAACATGCAATTCCCATCTCTCTGTTTTATTCACATGACATATGAAGCACATCCCATGTGTAAGCTGTTATTCTTTGCTCAGCACAGAACAGTGCAGCAGATACTATAGCTATACGAAAATTGGATATATATATGACATACATATATATAAGACATATTTATACACACACAGATGTGCCACTATAGATTTTTTTTTATTAAAAATAATTCAATTGCAAAGATAAAATCAATGAATATGCAGATGTGTGTCTATTAAGAAGCCTTAGCTTATTTGCTTCAGTGTTCACATTAAAATTCATTATAATCTAACTGAGATTTCAATGTTTCGCATAGGCTATTCTATTACCTCTTTAATGGAAATAAATTAATATCAGTATATGAGATGCTAGTCTACGACTGGCAATAAATACCAAGATATTCAGTAAATCAGTCATGTACTCTTTTCTTCAGTGAAAATCAAATTTTGGTGATAATACAAATGTAAATGTAATAAGAGTTAAAAATTTAAAACAATAGGCCCAAGGCCTATAAATATTGTAAAAATTATGTGATACATATTTAAAGTAGAGTAAAAACAGAATTGTCCACAGAAGCACAAGTCTAGAAGTGCTAGTTAGAGTCATGTTTGAAAATGTACTCATCAAAACTAAAGGTCAGAAGGACATCAAATCATGCCCCCCTGTGTTTAGTGAGCTCTACAGCTTCCGATTCTCTCTTCACTTCATTTTTCAATGCTTGCTATATATTTGTTACACTGCCTTCAGAAATTGGAGTCTATTCAATGAAAAATTTTTGGGTGGAATCCGATCGATACAATTACTTAAAATATTTAAAAAAAACACTGAATTATTTCTAAGTGAAATATTTCTATGTTGATTTTCATGTCACTATAGGATCTTGCTGGTGCATAATAAAAGTTGTTTATAATCGAGTCTATTTCCCATATATAGACAATATTTTTATATATGGTCTACTTTATTAAAAAACACCCAACTAAAATATGTTTGCAGAAATTTTTGACTCATAACAAACATGTTCATTTTNTTTTAAAATTTTTTCATTTTACATACCAACCACCCATTTACTCCTCAAAAAGGGTTAGGCCTCCCATGGAGAGTCAAAAAAGTCTGGCATATCAAGCTGAGGCAGGACCAAGCTCCTCCCCTCTGTATCTAGGCTAGCAAGGTATCCCTCCAATGAGAATGGGCTCCAAAGAGCAAGTTCTTGCACTGGGGAAAAATCCTGGTTCCAATGCCAGTGTCTCCATAGATTGCCCAATTCATAGAAATGTCACCCACATGCAGAGGGCCTAGTTCAGTCCTATGTAGGTTCCCTAGCTATTAGTCCAGAGTCATTGAGCTCCCACTAGCTTGAGTCAACTGTCTCTGTGGGTATCCTCATCATGATCTTGAGCCCTTTGCTCATATAATTTCTTCTCCCTCTTCAACTGGACTCTGGTAGCTTGACAGAGTGCTTAGCTGTGTATTTCTGTATCTGCTTCCACAAATTATTGTTTGAAGGTTCTATGATGATAATTAGGGTGGTCATCATTCTAATTACAGAGGAAGGCACCCTCTCAACTATTGCTAAGACTCTTATCTGGGGTCATCCTTGTAAATTCCTGGGAGTTTCCCTACACCAGATTTCTCCCTAACCTCATAATGGCTCCCACTATCAAGTTATCTCTTTCCTTGTTCTTCCTCTCTGTCCCTCCCTTCAACTCAACCATCCTGACATGATATGCATTCACTCATAAGTTAGGTATAAGAAGTTAGAAAACAAACAGGACCCTAAGAGACATACACGGGAGCCCCTGGGAAGGGGAAATAGGTAAGATCTGTGTAAATTGGGAGGTGGTGTGAACGGGCAGGAGGAGAACACATTCATTTAAAATAACCTTGGTAAAATTACAAGAGTGTGCTATGGTTTTAATATGAAATGTCCCTCACAAGCTCATGTATTAACACTTAAGTCAGCCAGTGGGATGATACAGACCCTTCCAGAGGACAGATCTAGTAGGAAGAGGTAGGTCTGAGGGGGCTGTGCCTTTGAAGGTTATACATGGAAACTATCTTCTCTCAAAACTTCCTGCTTATGAAAAAGAGAAGAATAGCTTCAACCCTAACTCTCACCACTCTGCCCAAGCTCCTGGAGTCATACAACTTGTGTCCAAACCCTCTAAACTCAAGAGGCAAAATAAATCATTCCTCGCTGAAGTTGTCTCATGGAGTACTTGTTCAGAGTTGAGAAAAGTAAACAATAAAGACTGTTTCATTAAAACTTTTTTTGTGATTGTTCTTTTTCTATTCACCAGAATACATTTCTCTAGCATCTTTTGCATAGGAAGTAAGGTACATTTTCTAATGCTGCTCTGCTTATCTGGTCGTCTTAGAATTACACTGCAAATAACATCTCTTATGCTCTACTGCCTATAACTATACAGTGTGTCTACACGAAAGGATAAGAACAAACAAAACAGATAAAATCTCAGGGAAGTTAGAACACATGAACAAATAAGTTTCTTATTAAAAAGCCACTGTGTCTCTCCCAGTTTTTAGTACAGTAATGCGGAAGGGGATACTGAGGATAAATCTTCAACTTGGTCACATGTCATCGAAAATAGGAAAGATCTAATAGTTTAAATATCAATTACAATGTTGAAAAGCCATTACAGAAAGATTTGCAGTTTCATTAAACAGTCCCAAAGCCTGTGGCCTCTTATGATGATGTTCTCAGGAAAGATGATTATTTCTTTCTATAAAACTAAGGCCGATTTCTGGGGGAAATTAGAAATCACACAATAGCAGAACATCTGAGTTTTGTAGCCCAAAGGAAGTGGATGCAAACTCTCTTCTTCACTAATTACATGAACTTGAAAAAACAATTCAATCACTGTTTTCTTTACTACAAAAACCGCCTTCATAGAAACATTGCAAGCAACAGTAAAATCAAAACAAAATAATACCATACAAATCTGTGATGGTCTCTTTTAATATAGGAGGGGGAATGGCATTATTAGGATGGTCTTGACAGGAACCACACTTCTTGCCCGAATCAATTCACTGTTTAATTATTTAATTAAATGTGGACATGCTAGGAAGTAATTTTACATCTATGCCAGGCTGATTAAGACCCAGTTGCAAGACTCAGCTGCAGCTGGATTGATTTAGGGAAAGACTCTGGTCATGCTGGCTTGAAGTCCTAATTCAGACTGCTAGGGCACCCAGAAAAGATGAACAATTCCTTACTCAATCTAAGTGTAAGAGTAAAAAGATTGAAACTGTAAGTATTAGCACTTTTACATGCCACCCTATCTATTAGATGAATTAAAAAAAATACTTTATGAGTGTTTTGCCTGCATGTATGTTTGTACATCTTAGGGGATCCTTGCGGCCAAGATGACCAGAAGAGGGCATCAGAACCCTTGGAACTTGAGTTCCATCTTGTGAGCTGCCTTGTTGATGCTGGGAATTAAACCTGAATCCTTAGAAAGACCAGGCAGTGCTCTTAACCACTAAGCCATATTGCCGGTCTCATTACCTTCAATACTGAAACATAATATTCTGTAAGCTAATTCCCCACCTTGGAATTGTTCATATTTTTATTGCTAATAAATTTTAAATCCATATCACTTCCCCACTATATAGTAAGATAGATTCTTATTTGCATTCTGACTCCCAAGACATAACAAGAATTCAGTAAACATGCATGCTCAGATAAATGAACAATTTACTAATTATCCTCTTGGATAAACTGAAGACAGTTTTATAGAATTACATGGTTGTCTGCTTTTAAACATGTTCATAATGAATAAATTAATTTGTGATTATAGAAAGACAGAAAAATGTGCCTTAGTATTATTGGTAAAAATAATGATTATTAACCCCATTCTTGGGCAATTCTGTAAGCAACTCAATATCAATGACATGATACTTACATTCGCCAAGTGAGCTAGCTCTATCTCCAAAAATGAATCAGTTGTTTTGGGTTCAGGCCTGATTGTGACCACGATGATTTTAGAATTAACGACAGTATAATTTCTGAAACAGAATAATAATGATTAAAAAGAGAAATGATTGGTGGAAACATTCTTTCATGCCACTCCATACCTGTGGGGATGACATTAAGTAATGCATCCCCAGGAAAAGCATAGACACAGGCCATTTTTTCAGAGAAAGAAGCAGTCAATGCACTCTTATGAACAAGCTCTCTCAGACTAGAAATTCTGGGGGCAAACTAAAGGCTTTTAATCATTTTATATGCAGAAAAGAGGAAAGAAACAACAATACCGGCAACCTTCTGAGTACTTAAGTACAGTTTATTCACAACAAAAATAAACAATACATTGAAACCATCAGGCAACCTATGATTGAGTATAACTCATTTATCTTGAGGAAGACCTCACAGCGTTATTCTCCAGGAGACCAAATATTCTTGCCAAGTGCTGCTGAGGCAATTGTTTTTTGGAGTTTGTGAGCTTTGTGCTTGTGTGTGTGTGTGTGTGTGTGTGTGTTTACTTCTCCCAAATGCATGAAGATGGAAAAAAACTATAATGTGATATAAAGAGAAAGCTTGCAGAACTTTAATGCAATGTTCTCAATTCTAAGAAACACCTCTCTTCTGAAATACCTTGCCAAGTAACACTCACTTACAAAGACTTTGTATTTATTCATATACATAACTAGAAAATTATCAATAGCATGGCAATAGTGACAGATGCCTTTAATCCCAGAACTCAGGCAGCAGAAGCAGGAAGATTTCTGTGAGTTTGAGGACAACCAGAGCTACACAGAGAATCCCTGTCTCAAAAAACAAAACAACAGAAATAATACCAAAAAGATAAAATCATATGGATACTTTATATAAAACACATAACTGGTATATAGCATCTACTACTCATAAGCTTAAAAATTTAACTATAGTTTCTCACATTTTGAAGAAATAAATCTATGCATTCCTCATTGATGGTCTGAAATAAATCATGTGTTCTTCCAGCAGGCAAATTCTATTTTAGAGAATTTATGTATGTATTACCACATGAGTTCATTTTTTAAAAATTTGTTTGTTTGCCATGGTAGCATTTAAACTTCACCCAATCTCAACTATAGACTTTAATGCCTCTGCATTTCACCATGTGATGACTACCATCTATTAAACTAGATCATCTCTTCCTGACGCTAAGCCGTGTCCTTGACTCCTTTGCAGACGATCCCACTTTTCCACGGTCTTAGAGGTCTTAGATAAGCACAGATGTGCTATTCCTGTAAATCTCACTTCTCTGCCATTATAGCACACAGACTTTTGTGTTTGACTCAATTCACAGTCTATTTTTTGAAATTCAGATCACAAGTCAGCTATACTATAATTTATCTATTCAACAATTCAATAAGCTAACTTTGAATCACTTTTGGTAATTCAGCATTTATAGGTATTCTTGGGTGGCTATTAGGAATAATTGTGATGTATCCTTTGGGTGGATCTATATTTTAATGTCTTGGGCAAGTCCCTGGGAACTGCTTGTTTATGTTGTAAATGTATGAGTCGCTCTGTTTTTTGCAGTGGCTGCATTGTTGGAATTCTTGAATGTGATAAGGTGAAGCAACATCAGATCCTTCTCTTTGCAGGTAACTTTTCTATTTATGCTATTTGACGCACATTTTCACCACCAGTGAATGCTAGACTGTTCTATAACAGAGGGAGAAGGAGCATACTCTATATAGGATACTATTTTAACCCTTTTATCATACATTTAGTATTGCACACAATAAATTCTGAAAAATTCTTAAAGACCCAAGAAGACATCCAGTGTGGTAAAAGTAGTATGGGAAAAAAAAAAGAAACCAAAACCAAAACCATACCATTAGTATATTTTATTTTCCTATTGGGAAAAGTGATTGCAAACAGGGAGAGCTGGTTCATTATTCCGTTTCATTGAACATATTGATTAAAGGCAAACTGTGTTTGAAAGGCTACAAAACCAAGTGATAACAATTCAAGACTTCCCTTTGCCAATGGTGGTTTCTTTGTGGGTAGAAGTTACCATGGGTTCTGGTGAGAATTAATGGAAACTGAAATCTGCCAGAGCATCAGGTGAGTGAACACCTTAGAATGGATTCTGGAGGACCATGTGTTTCACTGCCAGAGAACAATGCTGCATGATCCCCGTAGGAGAGTTTCTCAGGCTTGAGCTTGCAGATGCAAGTTCATCCTCAGGTCAGCCCGAAGCTGTGTGAGCTCTTATTTAGTTCCTTGGAAATAAACTATGGATGGATCCATCAAATTCCTTTACTCTTGTTCTGCTTAGAATAACTCTTCCCGTTACTGATAGAACACAAAGCATGATGGTCCTTACATTTATGTTAGTTTTTTTTTTAATCAGGATGTATTTGAATCATTTGCAATCTATGTAAGCGACTAAGCTACTGAAAAATGGGTATTTAATGTAGGAGTTTGATGTTTTTAGCAAGATATTCCTGAATTCTCTTTGTGTTTGAGAATACAGCCATGGCAAATAAGGCCATGATGACCTTTGTACAGATTCAGGTTCCTCAGTAACTTGGGGAATGGTCTGCTGAAAGGGTGCTAAAAAAGGGTGTCTGAGTTACAACTTTGATACAGTGTGGGTATTTAGCATATTTGAATTTATTTGAAAAACTGTGTGTGTCAAGCTACACTTATGGGCATACCTGCCTCATATGTGTGACTATCCATTTGCTCTACGCATCACACAGGAATACGCACAGGTTGATTTTATCACCCAGCAGACCTACATGCTTCCTTCCAGAAGACTGAAGTCCAGGGAGAGCAAGAATGACTACTAACATTTACATATTTTTGTTTTCATTACATCTGGTAGATGTTTATGCTCAAAACATGTTTGGATATTTTGTAAATAGCACATTCAAAAGAAAACAATCTTTTTACTATGTTTATTTAGACTGGTATGTCAATATCACAGTAAGATGCCTAGTAAAGAAAAAATGAGCAGATTACATTATGCAGTGTCTCCTTTTTAAAAATGTATACATTGTGCAAAGTTGGCTTTAATTTATTCCATCAATTTATTATAATTTGCATAAGTGAATAGCTGGCTTCTGATGTGCCACGTCAGGCTTTGTGATCTCCTAATGCTTCCTGGCCAGTTGCACAGTGGTATACATTGCTAAGAAAGCATATCTTACAGCCAAATGGATTTCATGACTAAAGTAATAAAGTCCTTCCCTGTCCTTGAGATTCTCACTGGTATTCACTCAAAGGAGAGTCAACTTATTCCTACAGACAGCAAAAGTGTGATTAATCCTTCCTAACAGGCATGGAACACTCCATGCAACTTCAGAAAATCACAGATTATTCTGAATGCTCTATGAGCATTCTCCATGAGACTATATAATTGGTCATAATAAAATGGAAATGATTGAAATTATACCAACATTAAACTGAAAATCAATTGCAAAACAAGACATGCAGATATGTAAGGAAATTAATGCACACTCAAACTACTAGTGGTTAAGGAAGAAATCACAATTGATACTAGAAAATTCTTTAAGGTAAATAAAAGTAAAACATAAACCAAACTTAGGAGATGTAGTAAGAACAGTACTAAGAGGTAAATTTAGAATAGTAAACATAAAAGAAGGAAGACATCAAGTTAAAAAAACACACACAAATTTATAACTGGAAGAATTTTTTGAAATGTCAGTAGGAACTAAAACTGAAAATATAAAAATCAACAAAACTAAGAGATGTATTCTCTAATATCAACACAACTTATAATCTCTTAACTGAATATATTTTAAAGAAAAATGGTCTCTAATAATAAAATTCAGAAATGAAGGAGGAAATATTTCATCTGGCAACAGAAGAAATGAAGATCACAATTTCTATGAGCCACTACTTCTGTGCCAACAAATAATATACCCTGTACAAAATAGGTCAATTCTTGGATATGTGTAGTCTTCTAAGACTAAATCATGAAGAAATTATTATTGGCAAAGATCTTTGGTTACAAATCTATATAAGTACAATGAAATATATATGTACAAATATGTGGAATAGTATATTATATGTACATTTATTCATGTATATATACTATATGTATACAATGCACATATAAAATATATTGCATAAAGTATGAAACTAGTAAGAAGATTTAATTAGAAATGATAATTTTAAATATTATCAGCTGTGAAATCTCAAGGTTAGATGGCTACACTGGAGAATTCTTGGAACATTTTTTAAAAAGCCAACTCCAATCCTTACACTCTTCCAAAAATTGAAGTAGATTAAAAGAGCAGTTCCTCAGTTTTTCAAGATAGAAAACCTAGAGCCCTGCTATACCACAGGTGGACATAGTTAGCTACAATGTCAGACATTTAAAACATTTATGATGGAAATTTTCATGTTATATTTTTTTTACCACAAAATTGAATGTAGTGTAATCGAAAATCAGGTGAAGGGAACAGCAAAATAGATCACACAGGCAAAGTATAGCCCAAAATAATATGAAAAAACATTTGCTGTTTATTGATAATTATCAAAATTCCTAGTCATTGTTAATTTTTACACTTATTATTCATGTCCATTTAAAAATGAAGACTTTTATAATGACTTTAATTAAGACCCCTAATTTGGACAAACCAAAACACAACAGAAAACTTGGCATACTGGTCTTCACACAGAACTTCATCGGGATAAGATAAATACATTTGCTTTTAAAATTACAACCAGAGAAGCCAGGCAGTGGTGACACATGCCTTTAATCCCAGTACTGGAGAGGCAGAGATAGGCAGATTTCTGTGAGTTTGAGGCCAGCCTGGCCTACAAGAGGTAGTGCCAGGACAGCTAGGGCTGTGGCACACAGGAATCCTGTCTTGAAAAACCAAAAAATAAATAAATAAATAAATAAATAAATAAATAAATTGGGAAATTGGGCTGGAGAGATGAATTAGCAGTTAGAATTACTGGGCGCTCTAGCAGAAGGTTCAATTCAAGCACCCAGGTGGTGGCCACAACTCCAGTTCCAGTGCATTAAAAGTCCCCT